TAATGTTACAAATATATATAATTATTCCAATAGTTACTTATATAATTATGTGGAAGTAGATAAATAAAGATTAATTTCACAAAGTCTTCATACTAAACTTTATACAAGCTAAATATATACGATTTTTAATTTAGATGTATTTGTAGGTTAGAAATAAACATATAAGGAGAATAATTATGATCTTTATTATAAAAATAAGAGCTTGGTCTTTACTACTCGTTCTCAATCATTTTCTTTGAATGTGGCCATAAAAACTTTTAAGAATGAATTTGAATTATAAAGAAGTCAAGAATTCTTTTCCATCAAAGGTGCAAATCAAAAAAGAGCACTTCTAGATAGAAGTGCGCCTATAAAGCTGACTTAACTAAATCCATCTGCGTATTATAAAAGATATGACCTTCAATAGAGCTTAATCATGTGTTAGTAGCTTTTAGAATAAGTTAACTCCATATAGTAGTTTGTAAAAAAATCTAATTATATTGCACATACATAGATAACTTGCATTGCAAGTTAAGATATGTGGCAAACAAATTCAACACATTTTGGAGGTCTTATAAGACATCGCCATGTAAGTCCTAGTTAAGAGTATATATGGAGGCAAGCATGAAGCCTTCTTTACTCTTGTCAATGCCTTTCTAATCCTTAGTCTTGTTTAAAGACTTTCTAGTCTTTTTGTTTTTGGTAATAGCCATTCTAGTTCAATATTATATCATCTTTGAGTGACTTTTTAATTCCTTTCAATGATACAAGAATGTAGTGAGACTTTTCTTTTTTCAAGAGTCATATCCTTGACATGTAGTTTTTTTAGATAAAAAAAAGTCAACGACTCTTCAGGGTTTTTGTTAAAGGTTTTATCATAATATGTTTAGAATTTGGTATTGACTTTTTAAAGAGATTTTACCTTATTTATAAGCTTTCTAGAAAGCTTTCATATATTTAGAAAAAAATTAGTATGAAATTTTTGTGCCCTTTTTATAAAAAAGATTCAATTATTTTGTATTAATATAATTTGTGGCTTTCTTTATTCATAAAGTATATTATAGAGAATTTTAAAAAGTAAAAATTTATATATATATATATATATATATATATTTAAATATTGAATAATTCTCTAAATAGCTATTATATACTCAAATTACTAGGTTTTTAGGGATCTATACTTATAAAATGGAAATCGATCAATTTTCAAAAGATAAGATAATTGAGACCTTAGATCTAGCAGTTGTTTCAAAAATTAGAGAAAGAGTGAGACAACTACATAGAAGCATCTATGTGAATACATAAGTTAGATTTGAAAAAAGATTAAGAGATAAATACTTTAATGATGATACTAAAAGAATGTTTAAAAGAAGTTTTTTTGATTAGATGGAATAATAACTTAGTAAACATTTGAAATCAAATGAACTACTAAGGAGGTTTGAGAAGAAGTTTGAACAACTTCTATTATCTAAAAAGTACCTTCTAAAGGTGAAAAAATTAGAATTATTTTTACAAGTTGCAAATGAAATATTAAAAGATAGATTGCTTCTCTTACTTTTAGATAGAATGGCAAAAGATGGTTTTATCAACAATTAGAGAAGATAAAAAGAAGTGATGAATTTTATTGCTATACAATATTATGTGAAGGCTAAAAAATTAGGGACAAGAATAGAAACAACATCAATGATACTTATAAAATTAATAGATGATAGATTACAAAAGAATAATTTTTCATGTTATAAAGAGGTAGAGACTTTTATCTTTGAAGTTGAGTACAAAAATGTGGAAATCTCTATACATGTATTTAAAGAGGTGACAATGAAGGGAGCATAAGTTATCAAAAGATTAACTAGGTGGAATTATCTAATTGATGCAAATACCATCAAAGTTTATTTGATAAGTAAGTGTAGTAAAAAGGAATCCTATGATGCATCAGTAGAGGTCAAGAAGGGCAAATTTTTTATAAGACTCAAAACACAAAAGTTAAAGTTATGGAGGAAGTTTTCTATAATGAAATTGAAGATGAAGTGATGCAAATATTTTTATGTCATGGAGAGGTGAACATTAAGGTAGAAGCAAATACTAACAAGAACTAAGAAGAAAGAAGTATAATAGAAGTCAAGATATTACAATATAGAATTGATATGTTGTAAAAGAGTAATGGTAAAATTTTGAAAAATAATATTCATCTATTCTAAGCAAGAGCTATTCCAGAGACATGAATAAAGATAGGAGGCCTTAAAGAGCCAATCTTCACATTAGTACATCATGTCTTTGAGATAAATATCTTATCCAAATTTTTATAAGAAAAAAACAAAAGGCTAATAGATACAAACCATAGATAGGTATTAAGAGCAGCCAACAATAAAAGAAGTAACTTTTATGGAGCATGTCTAGCAATAGACAAAAAAGAAAATTGATTATGTACCAACTATATTAGCTATATGCAATAGAAGTTCACAATATGGTATATATATATATTAAATTTACCATGCAAATTGGACATGAATTGTAGGTCTTATAAAACCTAGCCACATAGCTCTTAATTAAATAATATATGTAGAAGCAAGAGTAATACCTTTGTCACTCTTGTCAATCCCTTGCTTAGTTCTAATTTAGTTTCAAGAGTCTCTAGTTTTTAAATCTTTGGCAATAATCATTCTAATTTCTTCTTAAATATACATATTTTAGTTTTAATTAATTAATTAATTAATTGATTAATTAATTAATATTTTTATTTATTTTTTTACCTTTTATTGATAAATATTTTAATTATTTATTTATATACTTTGATTTCTTATCCTTGATAAATGTGTCCCATATAGTCAACTTAAAAAATAAGTAGTCACCATGTGCAATATTAAACCACCTCATTGGTCAAGTTTTTAACCTACAAAACACCTTTAAACACTTATAAAGTCAAATATACATTTAAAAATATCTGAAAACCTTTGCCACAAGTTATTATTATCAGATTTAACTACATAAACTTATTTCTATTCAACTCTTCTTATCCTAATAATTATTAGAATAAATATGCATATTTGTGACAGTAGGGCAAATATTTAAATATCTTTTATAATAAAAAAAAGTTTTTCTTGATATCAAATTTAAATGAATGTTCATAAAAATATTATTAAAAAATTTAAACAAAAAGATTAAAAGAACTACAATAAATATCATCAAAGAAAATGAGATTAATTAAATTTTTTGACTTAACCACTTCAAGATATAATTACTATAATTCAAATAATAATAATAATAATAATAATAATAATAATTTTTATTATTTATTTGCCATATTTTTTTTAAAAGATAATAATGTCAAGACAAGGCATCTCACAAGACTTATTGTTGTCTTAAATGACATATTGCATCAAATACAATAGACTTAATCATCTTCTATCTCTTCAAAAATAACCTTGGTCATCTATTTTATTGGACTTCATTACATCTCTTCTAATATCACACTTTTTATGACTTTATTTTTGTAATAGTGGATTGTCTTATCATAATGGTACAATCTTTTTATGAAAAAAATATTATCAATAAATAAATAAATAACAATTTTATTTTAGATAATATAAATTAATAACATTGACTTCTAAGTGATATCAAGGACTTTAGTTTATATGAAGATTTTAGATGATATTATTCAATATATAAAACTTTGATATTAAATTACCTTCAATTTTTTATCATAAAACTCATAAAAAAGAATAAAATATGTGAATTAAGTATCAAAGTAATGATTCTAATATATTATTAACTAATATTAAAAACAATAGCTCACTCCCTTGCTATTAAAAAAATCTTTTATATGATAATATAATACATTCTTTTACTAAATTAACTAAATTACTTGTCAATCATGATTATCATCTATAATTTATAATTAATAAGTTTTTAAAAGATAAATTTCTTTTGGCACAAGATTCTGCAAGAAGAATAGAAATAATTCACACAACAATAAAGACAAAATTAACAAGGCTCCAAAAACAGCACAAAACTAATAAAAATATTCTTTAAAAAAATAATTTGCATTCAAAATTAGAAATAACATAAATTAAATACAACACAATATCAAGACTAATAGACTATGTGATAAGTTAGATATTCAAAGGCTTTGCTAATTTGATATCTAGAAAAAATATTTATCTACTTGCATATCAATTACAAAAAACTACACTTAATAAAGATTCATAATATATTTCAAGTGTATTGAATTAAGCCTTATGTTACACTTAATATATCAAAATAAAATAAATAAATTTTAGATTAATTACATAAAACAATGAAACTCCAAATAGAAATTACTATAGCCACATGGTGTGTACAAAAGACTCATGTAGATCTAAGGTACATGTTAGAAACCTCATCAATGTTTATTGATAATAACATCATCTATCTAACTTAGTTCTATTTACATTTATTTACTAATAATTACTTAAAAACACACGTATTTATAAAAACAAACATACTTGAAAATTACAAAAATCTTATATAAACTAATATATTGATTCAATTGTGATAGAACAAAGATTTATTACAACTTATTTTTAGTTAGAACAAAAATGATGTTAGTAGCCAAAACTTGAAACCAAGATGTATTTTTTTTACCTCATATAAAATACATATTAAATGTATGCTATTAATAGGTCTAAATTATGTAATTTGAGTTATTACAACTTCACTTTTATTCTTTTCATTTGTTATATGCAAAACAATGGTCATATATATATATATATATATATATACATGCATTTTTCCAAAATGAACCATGGTTCTTGATTAGAATGAACCTAACATCTTCTCCAAACGCACCTGGGAACAATCCTTGAGTTTGAAATTTACTCAACACCTGCTTGCTTTGAAGTGAGTCAAAGAAACGAAGCCCTTGAGTCCTTACAAAACTCGCAGCAGTGACGAAGGATGTCTGTCATCCACTCTCTGATCCAAACCCTGCCTTCACGCATTTCATCCACTTCGCATGGAGAACTGAAGACGACGAGCTGGGAACATCCCCGAGCTAACGGCCGGCTTAATTCCAACCAAAAGCACGACAATCTCCGCATCTTTCATTGCAGCTTACGTAGAATGAACGTCGATGCATTGATCTCACCACCTTAGAATTACGTAGCGTGTCTCGGCAGAACGATTTTGAATTACGTAGCGTATCTCGGCAGAACGATTTTGAGACAAATTTTGCCGCTTTCGGAGTGGTATTGCAAGAGCACGGGCCAACCCTAACCTATCGCGGCATCGTCGTGGTCCGCGTAGGGTTGCGAGAGACCTAGGTCGCGCGCGGTCGCGGAGATTGGGAGGAGGAAGGGAGATCGGCATTGTAGATGAGTGAGGAGGAAGGCGCGGGTGGAGGCGTTCGGGGTGGGGAGCAATCCGGAGTGGTCTTGGTTTAGGTTTGCGGGGGATTTTTTTGACTTTTGCGTGTTGTGGCGAGAGGGGGAGCGAGAGAGGGGAATTGGAAGTAGGCAGCCATGCCCTATGTCCCTCCACATCTGAGGGCGGGAGCCGCCCCAGCAGCAGCAGCACCGGCTTCTAGCGGTGGCGCAGCAGCACGCAGAGACGGAGGTCGAGACTCGTATGGCGGTAGCTTTGGAGCGAGCGCGGGTGCCAGGAGATCAGCGTCGGAGGGGTTTTCTGGGAACGGGAGCAGCGGCTATGGCAACGGATATGGATCATATGGTCGGGAGAGCACGGGGGGGAGCAGAGAGGGGAGCGCAGCGCGCGGGGTAGGGCACCCCGAGGTGGTGTGGCCGGACTGGAAGCCGTCGGAGCGCGTGCGGAAGCTGTTGCCCGAGCAGATTGCAGAGGTGAGGGCCAGGCTCAATGTGGACGTGGAGATTACGCCCGACACAGAGCCGGCGCCGGCTCCCATCGAGTCGTTTGAGGACATGTGCCTGCATTTGAGCATCATGAAGGACGTGACGTTCCACAATTACACAACGCCGACGCCCATCCAGGCGCAGGCTTTGCCGGTGGCATTGTCTGGGAGGGACCTGCTGGGATGCGCAGAGACGGGGTCGGGGAAGACCGCCGCGTTCTCGCTGCCTATGATCCAGCATTGTCTGGCGCAGCCGCCGATTCGCAGAGGGGATGGCCCGTTGGCACTGGTGTTAGCGCCCACGAGGGAGCTGGCGCAGCAGATTGAGAAGGAGGTGAAGGCGTTCAGCCGGTCGGCGGAGGGGTTCAAGACGTCGATCGTGGTGGGAGGGACGAACATTTACGAGCAGAGGTCGGAGCTGCGGGCCGGCGTGGAGATAGTGGTGGCCACTCCTGGTAGGTTCATCGATCACTTGCAGCAGGGGAACAGTTCTCTGTCGAGGGTGTCGTACGTGGTGTTGGACGAGGCGGACAGGATGCTGGACATGGGTTTCGAGCCTCAGATCAGGGAGGTGATGAGAAGCCTTCCGAAGAAGCACCAAACCCTACTTTTCAGCGCGACAATGCCGGAGGAGATCGAGGCTCTGGCGCAGGAGTACCTGAACAAACCGGTGCGGGTGAAGGTGGGAAGAGTGAGCAGCCCGACGGCGAACGTGACGCAGAACCTGGAGAAGATCACGGAGAAGGAGAAGATAGACAGCTTGCTGGCTCTGCTGGTGGACGAGCATTCGCAGTCGTTGGATTCCAATCAACCACCGCCACTGACGATCGTGTTCGTGGAGCGGAAGGCACGCTGCGACGAGGTGACGGATGCGTTGGTGGAGCAAGGGCTGAAGGCGACGGCGCTGCACGGAGGGAGGAGCCAGAGCGAGAGAGAGGCGGCACTGAGGGACTTCCGGAAAGGCACCACGAACATCCTGGTGGCGACGGATGTGGCTTCGCGAGGGTTGGACGTGACAGGTGAATGCGCTGACGTTCATTGCATCTGGAGTCAGTGGGCAACGTAGGTCGGTCTCGTGGTTAGAGAATGGGTCCCTCGGCATGGGGCACATGTCAAGGTTTGAGGCTGGGCATGAGAATGGTGGATGGTCAATTTTGCATTGGGCAAGAGAAGCGGAATAGATACAATGGCAGGGTCTGTTGTTGGAGTGCCGCAGTCTTGTCAAGTTAAGAATTTGGCGAGCCCAGGGCATGTCGGGTTGGTGGAGTAGAGAGTGGTTTGATTGTGCCGTAGACTGTCCTAGTTTTGTCTTTTTGCGGTTGGGAGTATGGTTTGTCTTGTGGCTAGCCTGAGCTGCTGATGCGAAGAGGTTTGTTTTCGAGGGATGACGAGTGGGGCGGTTGCTCCTCACGTCGGGGGAATCGTGGTTCAATCGGTTTTCTGTGCTGTATTATTTGGTGGATTGATTTCAGACAAGTTTGTGCAAGATGTTTGGTGGTCACGAAAGTTTAAGCGAGGGAGGGGGTATGGACGCCTGAATTTGCGGCGGGGATGGGCGAGGGGTTGGAGGGTTAGGATTTTCCAGACGTTCGGGTCTGGTTTTGGAGTGGTGCCATCACCAATGTTGTGAATGGATGTGTTCGTTGGTTTGGGACTCGTGACACCGGACTCTGTTGTACCGCATGTTCACTGTGGGAGATTTAACTTTTCTCGCCGGTGCTCTACTTGGAGCTAAGCGCACTCGGCTGAGTGATTTGTGATTACCGGGAATGTATGAGTGTATCCTGACGGATTTGGAGAAGCTGGGTGACAGGTGTGGCACACGTGATCAACTTGGACCTGCCGAAGACCATGGAGGATTACGTTCATCGGATCGGGCGAACGGGTCGTGCAGGGGCCTCGGGACGAGCGACGTCCTTTTACACGGAGCGAGACGTGTTCCTTGTTGCTCAAATCCGAAGGGCAATCACGGAAGCGGAATCCGGGAATACCATGGCGTTCGCTACAGGCAAAGCTGCGAGGCGGAAGGAGAGAGAGCAAGCGGCGGCGTTCAGAGAAGGGAGGATGACTCCTCTGGGAGTGGCTCAAGTTGGTGCGACGACAGTTCGCGTGGACGATAAGTACAAGCACATGCTTTCTGCTACGGCAGATCCGAAGAAGGGCGAAGGGGCAGCGGACGACGCATGGGAAGACTAGCGATGAGAGATGGCGGGCAGGTTTTGCTCTCGTCACAGCCATTGCCGGTGATTAGCAAGGACGTTGAAATATTTTTTGCTGGCACGTTGAGATCCGAAAGCAGGTGGGCGTCATTCCCACCGTTGTTTCAACAGCTCGAGTCCCAGGGGACTCGAGCGGAATGTCCTTAAGCTGCCATGGGACTGATAGTAAGCAAGACTACAGCCCTGAGCAAGTGAGAAATGAATGAAAAGCATCGTCGCGTGCGTTCAATGCGGTGTCTCCCCTTGCCACCGAAGGTTTATGAGGAGCATGAATGTGTGTTTCAGCGTGTGTGGTTTGTAGGAATGCGTCGTGAGGAGATGGGTCCAAAGTAGCGCTTGCTGCAACAGGAAGTCGGCTACTTGAGGGTCACGTGGGAATTACTATGCCGGTGAATTGTGACGGGGACTTGGCTTGTGAACGGAGTGATGTATGTTGGTCGTGATGGGACGTGAATGAGAGTTGCGTCTTTGGCTGTGTTAGTGTTCAACTCGTGCGAGGAGCTGCATATGGAGCTTTGGCAAAGTGTGTGCATTGTCCGGCGATACTGTCTGGATGCCGGCGGAGCCCGGTCGTGTTCGTCACTGGTTGATCCATGTCCAGATTAGGCAAGGGATGGATGGTGCCGTTGTTAGATCACGTTGAAGTTTTCTAGGGACGAAGGGACGGCTAGTCGTTCTTACAGCGAGTTGCTTGGAGCGTCGTTCGTTGGATCTCATCGTTTTGTGGATCGATTTCGCAGTGTTAGTCGATTGCAACGTTGAGCATGACAGTGAAACAGTTTAGAATGAATTCCCAGATTGTAGTAGCGGAACAGGAAATGAAGCCGAGAAAGGCTGGTTATTACGTGTTCGCTGTGATCGGGTTTCTGCTGGACGAGGGTTGGCGATGTGAAGCGGGAGTTGTCCAGGAGGAGCCTATTTTGCTTGCACCGATTCCCGTTTTCAGGAGTGTGTCCTGTGTCTGGAGTTTGGGTGGTTTTTGTTCCCGCCTTGTTTGTTGCAGCAAATTCGGACGTGGTGGACGCTGTTGGTCGTTGCGCAGGTTCTTGTGCTCTTATATCCTGGGTTTCGTTGGCCTAAACGGCCATGTTGTGTGAGGAGTTTGCAGCTCGTGACATGCAACAGCATGTGTGTGTGTGTGGGGTACGTGGCAGCATCTGGACCTTGCCGTCGCTCTTCATACAAGTGGAGGTGACACTGGTGGGGGGGGGGGGGGGGAACCGGAATGCAGCGCCAGGAACGCCCATTGTGTATGTGTTGTGCGCAGAATAGTTGCATGAATAGTGGGCATTTGGACAAGATGTTGTATTCATGGATTTTGGAATCAGGGGTACTGTTTGGGAAGTCACGTTATTCATGTGGGAATGATTGATGCATTTTTGTCTTGAAAGTACATTAACGTCATGTAGAATGGTCATGGTTCTTCATTTGATTTGTATGTGCTGTAAAGACATGAAAATGGAGATGAATTCAGATGGTTTTGGATCTGCATCTTGCAAGAGACTAGTGATGTGAGAAGTTTTAGTTCACATGTATGAACTGATTATTATGTGGTAGCATGGTCATGGTGCCATTCATTCTTGAAACTGTACAGATGTAAATATGCATCACTGAATGCTCATCTTGTTTGTTGCATTGAATGATGTGCATCTTGGTTTTTGAGTCTGTCCATTTCCAAGGGTCATCCTTTATTAATTCACTATTATTTACTCATTTTGTGTCTCTGTTTGATTGTGGGATGACATTTTGTTTGTTTGTTTGTTTCATTAGTTGATTAATTAGTGGAGGATAGGAGTGATGATGAAGAATTAACTGTTTATTGTATAAACAAGAGTAAGGATATATATATTAACTTTGTGGTACATGTATAGTCAGTGTGTTTTAGGTGAAATTAGTCTTTCATATTGTTTGTATATGAAATTGTATTTATAATGTTTATGTTGGAGTTTTGGTAGATTTTAGGAAAAATATTTTACACGTACCTAAAATATGCTAAAGTAAAGAGATTATCCATGTATTCTTGATAATAGTAAATATATCCCTTAGATTTGTGATAATAGTAAATGTATTTCTTAGATTTGTGATAATAGTAGATATATCTTCTTTGATGATAAGGTGTCACCAACATTTGTTGCTTGGTTTTATTTTTTTAAGGTTTATTGCATTGTAGGTGTTATATTTTGCATCCTATTGGTCTTATTGTTGTAGGTTTGGGTTTTATATAGTAGTTAATGAGTTTTGGATTTAGACTATGTGGTTTGTCATGATGTGTGTCATTTTACTTCAACAATCTTATTTAACTTCCAACGACAACATTTGTTTGTTTGTTTGTTTGTTTGTTTGTTTGTTTTTTTTTTTTTTTTTTTTCAAACTTCATATTTTTGAAAGGATTGAGTTTGTGTCAAGGACAAGAACTCGATGAAAAAACAATTTAGACAAGTGAGCCTTCATTCAAAGAGAGGTAACAAAATATATATAAACAAGTATATATATTGAAAGAGGAACTGGAATGGCTATTGCCAAAAGACAAGAAAACTAGAGACCCTTGAAACTAGACTAGAAGCAAGAAAGGAGTTGACAAGAGTGAAGAAGCCTTCACTCTTGTCTCTATATATACTCTCTAACTAAGGGCTACTTGGCGACGTTCTATAGGACCTCCAATATGTGTTGACTTTGTAGGGCACATGCCTTGACTTACAAGACAAGTTTTTCTACGTGTGGGCCACATAGTTAGCTTGATCTTCAAGCTAACAACATGTGTGGCACATGGCCAACTTGTTGACCACGTTTCTAATCCAAAAAGTCAATTAAAGACACCTATGAAGTCAAAGCAGCGTCTAGGAAGTTTTTAGGAAGCTTCCGTATTAAATATTATAGAATTAATTTACTTTTACCTACTTTTACTTACTTCTACCTATTTCTATATGTAATTATTAGCTTACATAATTATGGCCGTGACATTACCCCCCTTTCTAGGGACGAGTTCCACGAGGAGCGGACATCATATGTTGAGGAAATCTATGATGCGATGAATTGTATTCGCCACATACTCTGATCTCTGTTCTCTTCGAAGATGATTGATAGGGCCTCTCAACCATCAGTAGTGTCCCATACCAGGGCGAGAAGACCACCCAGTTATTTGATCATTGTTGAGGCCTTCGTAACTTCATTCGAATAGAATATTTGGAACACCATCAGGAGTTGTTTCTCCCTCTAGCAACATCACCAAACATCGAGAGTCCTTTCCCAAATCATGATACCAATCGCGTTGTATCTCACCATCTATTCGAAGAAGAACATGTCGTTCTTGAAGATCTTCATCTCGATTGCGTCGTCTTGAAGGTTGTGACAATCGTAATGTCTCGTTTGGTAGGTCGGCAAATGAAGGCTCTTGAGTCCAATCTGCTGGTTGTTGGTTCTCCATCTCCTCAGCGCCACCACTACAACGAAGCTACGAACAAGAATTGAAAGTAGAATGTTATCTTGCCTAGATGTTGTTTCTTTTATAAAGAAGATTTTCATCTTGATTTTGATGGATGTCGTCGATAAAAAGCCTCCACCGCCTTTGCTGCATTTGCAAGATTTTTTATTGGCTCCCATGTGCGTTCACTAATACCATATCTGCGCCAATGGACAAGATATTCTAATTTATTTCAGCGCCGCCTAGAATCTAAGACTTCTTCTACTTCAAACTCTTCATTATTGTCCACTTCTATAAGATGAGGTGGAGCTTGTCGTCTTCTTGGTATGTCCACTGTCTTGTATGGTTCAAGAAGAGACACGTGGAATACTGGATGGATTTTCATTGACTCTGGTAGATCTAAACGATATGCAACTAGATTGATTTGTGCAGAAATAGAAAATGGTCCCAGCCTTCGATAGTCCAACTTGTCACAAGGACGAGTGGTCTTGATATTGCGACAAAGTAGCCATACCTTATCACCCAAGATGAATGATGGTTGTTCCTTTCGATAGACATCCGCATTGGCCTTTTGTTGTTCTTGAGCTTCTTTTAACTGCGCCTTGATCGTTGCATGTAGCTCTGATAAATGAGTTACCAAATCTTTCGCAGCAGGATTATCAACTTTTGAAAAGTCAAAAGTATCAAGTCGTGGATGATAACCATAATTAGCAAAAAAAGGTGTTTGTTTTGTAGAAGAGTGTACCGTATTATTGTAAGCAAACTCTGCCAATGGCAAAAGAGTTGTCCAATCATCTTGTTGGTAATTAATGGTACATCTTAAATATTGCTCCAAAACTTGATTAACACGCTCCGTTTGTCCATCAGTTTGAGGATGGAATGTCGAAGATAGTTTTATATCCACTTTAAAAATCTTGAAAAGAGTCCGCCAAAATCTTGATACAAATTGAGTTCCCCTATCTGATATAATATCCTTGGGTAATCCATGATAGCGATAGATATTGTCAAGAAAGATCTTAGCTGTTTCTTCACCTGTGATAGATTTTGTACATGGTACAAAATGTGCCATCTTAGTAAAACGATCTACTATCACGAATATAGAGTCATAAGAACCTAAGATTGGAAGATCCGTGATGAAGTCCATAGAAACAGAAGACCATGGTTGTTCTAGAATGGGTAATGGCTGAAGAAGTCCAAAAGGTCGATGATGAGGAGTTTTCGATCTTGAGCAAACATCACATGATTGTACAAAATCTTTAACTGCCTTCCACATTTGAGGCCACGAAAAATCCCTAGATATCAGTTCCAAAGTCTTATTATATCCAAAATGTCATGCTGCTGGGAAGTCGTGACGAGCTTGAAGAACACGTAAACGTGCTTCTCCTTCTGGAACATATAGGCGTCCTTCAAAATAGAGTAGGTTGTTCTTGAATTCAAATTTAGATGGATCATGAGATTTAGAAGAATTGTTCTTAATATCATGAACAAGAGGGTCTAAAGACATACTTAACTGGATTTGCTTAAGGAAAGTTAAATCAACAGTCAATGTTGATTTTATTGCTCGAAGATGAAATTATTTCGGCTTCAAGAGAACCGTTCTTTGTTGCTCAAAAGTTGCATCTCCTTCTTTTGGTGCAAGATAAGAACGTCTAGATAAGGCATCGGATAAACCTTGTTGTTTTCCTGGCCGATAAGTGATGATGAATTCGAATCTTGATAAAGACATGCTTTAACGAGCTTGGCGACGATTTAATACGCGTGCTGACATAAAATATTCAAGGTTCTTGTGATCCGTATACACGGTGACTGAACTAGAA